ATGAAATCCTACTTGGTGATTAAACAAATCTGTCTGTTCTTAAATATATCTGCCCCTGGACACCTGTAGTGAGGTAGTCCTTCTGTAGCACTGACCACGCCCATTGGGGGGTGGAGCGATGGGCGGAGAGGACCTGAGGAAGGAGGTCGGAGGGGGCCAGGAAGGCGCTCTCTTGCTGGCGTGACTCGGACAGGAGAGGATCGGGTTGAATTTCCTGGTGTTCATCTGTCTAGGTTGTAAGTTATTTCTCCCTGAATAAACATCTATTCGGCCTATTTGTTTATCCTGATCCTTATTTACCGCAATAGACACCTCTGCCCTCAATGTGTCGTATGTACTTAAGTCTGCTCTTACCTGTATCTTTAGTTCAACCTCTCCATACCAGCCTCAGTTCTATGACCTTGGTCCAAGCTGCTGGACTCACACTTTGTAATTAGCACCACCTAACCAGTCTCTCTGTCTTGCCTTTTTCTATATCTTCCCACAGTGATTTCATTCAAATCTTACCGGAGAGAATTTCAGCTCATGGCATGCTTCTATGAACTTCAACATCTTTCTGTCTGATCCAGAGTCTCAGCTGTGACAGATGGGGCCGAGGCTGACATGGACCTGCTGCATTCACATCATGCATTCCTGTCACACACACCCTCACACACACACACACAGACCCCAGTGTTGTCTGCTCCAACATGTTGGTCTCCTCCCTGGACCTACCTGGTTTTGATTTGTTTGTTTGAGTTTGGATGTCTCCTTTGCTGGCCAGAGCTACACAGACTCACTGTGTAGATCAATCTGACCTTGAACTCACAGAGATCCACCTGTCTTTGTCTCCTGAGTGCTAGGATTAACAGTGAACACTATCATATCCAGCTCCTTCCTAGGGCTTAAACAGCAGCATCCTGTGTTCGTGCTTCGGTAACCCACGCTTGCCATCCATGCCTGCTTTCTCTCATACCCATGGCTGTTGCCTTCACTATCCCTGGGTCTTTTACACAGGACTGCTTCCTCCATCAAGTGGTCCAGAAACAGGCTACTCAGACTCCCGGTCTCTCCCCCACCACGCTGCCATGCTCTGCTTCTTGCCACTTCTGCAGTCCAAATACCACATATTTTCTAACTGCTGCTTCTAAGAACTGAGAATCTGGTTCATTCTCATTTTTGTATGTATGTTGCACCCTGGCAACAATGCCCAGAATAAAGGACTCAGCAAATATTAATGAAATGAACACACTCCTCAAAACCACAACCAAGAATGTATGAAGTAAATACTTCTTATGGCTTCAGAGACTTTGGTCCCCACCTCCACCCCCCCCACACACTAACAAAGCAGGTGCTTACAAATAGCTACAGATGTAAGTAAAAATGATAAGCAAGTTCAATTTGTATCTGACTCTCCTGATGGAGGGTCCTCCTTTCTCAGGCGTGGGTAATGGACTGTCTGACCCTGAATACAGATGGGATGTCCTTATGGTGAAGCCAGGTGCTGGGAAGTGTTGGCATATTGGCCACTCGACAACTTGCAGCTTAAACATGCTCCCTTAGTGCAGTGATCCTTAACAACATAGCATAACCTTCCCTATCATCATTTGAGTGTTTCCAAAGCCAAAACTTACTCAGACCTGCCTCTCACTTAGAGGAAGTTAACTGACATTTAACCTTTTGATTAGGGAGAAAAGCAGTGAAGATTAGCAGGGACTTTAAGTGGATAGCATACAGTATAAACCAGAAAGATGATTTCCAGGTTTCTAGTGTAAATATATATTTACCCGTGTCTCCAGAAAAATTTGTTCAGATTCCAGGTTACATCGGACCTGTATTCATCTGTGTTTATAGATCTGATAACATACCATAAAAATGTAAATAATTTCATATGAAATCTAATAAATGTATGTGCATGTGTGTGTGCATATGTGTGTGTGTGCATATGTGTGTGTGAGAGCATGCCTGTGTGAGTGCGCATGTGTGTGCATATGTGTGTGAGAGCGTGCCTGTGTGAGTGTGTGTGCACGTACGTGCATGTGTGTGCATGTGTGTGTGTGTGTGTGTGTGTGTGTGTGTGTGTACACGCATGCACTCGTGGGCTCCTGCCTGCAAGCACATGGGCATATCAGAAACAAAAAGAAACAAAAGTGTTAAAGGAAACTTTAAAGTCTTTTACCCCAAATTGTTCCACAGAATGTGATAACTTCTCAAAATAACTTATTGCTTATCTTTAAAATAATACTTTATCCACATCAGCATTATGTACAATAGCAAAAAATAGAAACCACTGAGATGTCAAGCAATTAAACAAGAACACAAAAGAATACTACACAACTTTTAAGAGATGAGTCTAGCATGTGAAACCTAATATGTAATATCCATCAAGAACTCATGATATGATGACAGCTACCTTCAAAAACTGTAAAGATTCGGTTTACACAAGCAAGGACTTTTTTTTAAGGTACAAAAGAGATGGGTGTGGGTTATATGGTCTAGAGATTTGCTTTTGATTTTTCACTGTTGACGATTTTCTGCTTTTCAAGTCAATGGTCATGTACTAATACTTTACTTTAGAATAGTGGTTCTCAATCTGTGGGTCTCAACATCTTTCGGGGTTGAACAACCCTTTCACCTAAGATCATCACAAAACACAGAGATTTATGTTACAATTCATAACAGTAGCAAACTTACAATTATAAAGTAGCAATGAAAATAATTTTACGATTGAGGATCAGCATAACACAAGGAACTGTACTAAAGAATCACAGCATCATGAAGGTTGAGAACACTGGCTTAGAAAGAGAGGAGGAGTAGTCACTGCAGAAAAAAAATAGCATATTCACTTGGGTGTTTATTTTGAACAATGCCTATGTCTTCTGGAAAGATTTCCCTCTCTAGAAATTCAATTGCTTACTTTTAGAAAACACACACATAAATTTTCTTCTAAATAAGCTCATTTTCCTAACACGTCTCATTAATGCTGCAGATTTGCTACTTTCCATTTTAATTGCATTTCTCAGAGAACATCAGACAGGAAGGTAGCTACATAGAGTTTGAACTGATGAGATGGCTCATTTTTGGAAGTGCTTGCCAAGGTCAAGAGTTTGATTCCCCAGAAGACAGAAAGACCAGGCACAGCAGCACACATTTGCGATCCCAATATTGCTGAGGCAGAAATAGGAAGATTCCTGGAGTGTGCTAGTACTCACCCTGCCCTAACCAATGTGTCCTAGCACAATAACAAATTAAGCTGATCTCTGGCCATCACACACATACCCGCTGCATACACAAAAATCATTTGACTTCTGTGATTAAACAGTATAGTCCCCTTTACATAAATGCAATATTGAATTAAAAACTATCTCCAAAGCTTGGCAATGCTACCATGTGGGGGAAAAAAAAAACACAAGTCAATACTGTAGCGTTGGAGCTCACAATTAAATTAATTTATAGAGGTTTTAATGCAATTAAGTTTTCTCCAGACTGTATCTCTAATGGAACTGGGATTTTTTTTTTACTTAATATACTTTGAAACATAATTCACTTTCATTTTTGCAAAGTCATTTAAATATTATGAATATCACTTTTATACATATTTCCATGGTGACAATAAGTTCGCAGTCTATTTAATTTACAGATGATGGGACCAAAATGAAAACTCTGTGAGGATCATAGATCTTCTCCACCACCACATTCCCCTTCCAGGATATTAAGTGTATAAGTTATCTATACTTGCAAGAATGGACTCTTGAAACAGTAATAAATGTTGTAAATGATGTGACTGCGAAACTTGAAGAAAATTAAAATCCATAACAAAGAAAGCATTAGAGATACAAAGAGCCATATGAGAGTAACAATACAATGTTTGGGGTTCATAATTTAAGCTATTAAGTTATTATAGTTGGAAAGGAAAATGAACAAATCTTTTACATAGGCAAATTAAGGATATAGTTAGAGAGTTTAAGTTATGTATAAGCTTGAAAGCCTGAAATCAATTCTTGCACATAAACGCATAAAAAACTGTAGACAAGATAGCTAAGGGTCTCTAAATACAGTAAGGAGACTCTGCAGTCACTACCCATAGCAAAGTTGTTTAGATAATTGTTTTTAAGATTTTTTAAAAGTGTGTGTGTGTGTGTGTGTGTGTGTGTGTGTGTGAGAGAGAGAGAGAGAGAGAGAGAGAGAGAGAGAGAGAGAGAGAGAGAGAGAGCATGTTGGAGCCTCTGGAGGTCAGAGAGGTGTTGGATGCCCTTGAGCTGGAGTTGCATTTGGTTATGAGCCACATGGAATAGGAGAGGGGACTCTTAACCGATACATCATCTCTCCAGGCTGTATTGGGTAATTCTTCATGCTCCCAAGCCCACATGTAAATGATCTGTATTAGAGGATATTTAACAATAAAGAGCTAACTAACTGGTTTGAACTTTGAAAGAAAGACATACAAAACTGGTCCAAAGCCTTTCAGTTGAGGCGATAGCTCCACTCAGATGTCATATTTCGCTTCTCAGTTGAGAAAAAGTTGGCAAAACAGAAGTAGACATAACTGTGGAAAGGATAACTGTAGTTGGTAGCAACGCAAAAATTCTAAAGGATAACAAGGGTCACTGCAGGAATGAAAATCTTATTTAAGGGGATGGGGAAATGGCTTAGCTGGTAACTGTGGTTGCTGCTTTTGCTGAGGACCTAAGTTTGGTCCCCACCACCAATGGGATCAGCACACAATCACCTGTAACTCAAGATCCAGGGATTATGGTACCTTCTTATAGCCTCTGCAGGCATGAACACACACACACACACACACACACACACACACACACACACATAGACACACACACACATAAATAACAAATACGTACATAAATAAATAAATATGAAAACAAATCTTTAATAAACTTAATGTGAACTATATAATAAAGAGTCTAATTTTGCTGTCTGGGCATTGCCCACTATCCCACAAATATGACAGGAATAATCTCCCAAATGACTGTGAGACAATTGAACAGCCAGGATAATCTTACCTGTTTTCCAGATGTACTGACTGTCCTTTCTGCCTTCCAGATGAGCTGTTTGGGACAGCAGGAGAGAAAACACCAGAAAGAGCTTCCTCATGCTCCTCGGAACCCAGTGAGTGACAGCCAGATCACTCCTTGGGAACATTCTTCAGGTTTCTGGGTGTCTTCACTTGCCTAATCCTGAAAGCAAGAGAAAGACAGGTGAGTGCCACTGTTTGGCCATCGTGACGTACTCTGACTGCAAGTGACTTTCCTGTGACCATGTGACAAATGCCCCATTACATCCTGTTTTGTTCTTGAAAGTAATCAAGCTTGGAGGCTCTCTCAAATATTTGCTTCCTTCTTTTCAGACAAATTCCTTGAGGGGCTAACAACTGAGAAAAGAAATTGGCATCCGCTACTAAGACCCAAAGAGAGTGAGGAGCAAGCATCCCTAATGGTGGTGAGTGAAATGACTCAGGATGAGGCCATTGCTGAGAGAAAACAGAGGGAAATACACAAGACAATATCTGAGAAGAGCCTTCGGGAACCATAAGGGCTTGAAGGAGTCAATAAGGACACATCGGAGAGAATAAGGCACTGAATGCTAGTTATGTTTGTGTTCAGGGACTGGTGATTAAGTGGGTAGTTGCTTTGAAGGACATGAAGGGGAGGGAGGAACTGGTAGAGATGAGATTTGGAATACAGGTTAGGGACCAAACTGTAAAGGGCCTTGAATGTCAGGAGGGAAATTTGAAACAGTAAAGAACTTTCAAATAACCAAGATTAGTGCGTATAATCAGTCACTAGTGAATTGGGCTAGATAAGCTGGGTGTCAAGGTTATGCAGCTGATGAAACAGCTCCAGCAACTACAGATAAGTAAAACTATTAGGAGATATTTGAGAACTGGAAGATAGGGCAGAAAACATGCAGTGGAGGGTTGGACATGGCAGGTAAGAGGAAAAACTCAAAACAGGATAATAAAATATAAAATGCAAACACATCAACAGTGGACCTCCTGTCACTAAGAATGCAAAACCTCTTTAGGCACAGCTTTGAAAAGGAAGATTCAAATAATATGTTATTGAATAAATGAAACCTGATGTAATTTTACTAGTTTATTGGGTATTTTTTTTTGCAATGATAGACACAGAACTCAGGGGCTTAGGCATGCTAGACAAATGTTAATGTACCTATTCACTACAATCCCAGTTTCAGATAGAATATTACACCTAGAGTGGAAGAGAATGGAAATAACCTTAATTATTTGATTATGAAAAATATATACACACAAACACATACATATGATAGGTATATAGATGATAGATGGCAGATAGATGATAGGAAGATAGAAGATACATAGTTGAAAAATCCATAGATGATAGAGATGTATATCAGAGATTTTATATATATATAAAGTTACTAAAAACAGTGGTGACTCTGACTATAAGCATCCTACCAATGAATGAGGAAGAAATAGCTGCTATAATTTTGAGGTCCTCAAGTACAAAGAGATGTGACATCTCTTGTGATACCCAATTCTAACTATCTAGAGCATCTCGATACAGCATTCTCTGCTTCAGATTTGTCTGTTGTCATATCTGTGAAGGATTGTCTTGTTGGATTAATGGAAGACCCATTCTGAATATGGGTGACACAAATCCTTATTTTGAGTATCTGGACTCCATTAAACTAGAGTAGAAACAATTAGGCAAGCATTAAGCATGCATGGATTCATTTCTTTCTGCCCCTGATTGTGTTATGACTCAATTCAGGCTCCTACTGTAACCGTTATAGGGCAATGGACTCTAGCCTGGACTGTGAGCTAAAATAAACCTCTCTACCCTAAGTTGCTCATTCTTGGGGTATTTTTTTTTAATCACAGCTAATGAAACCAGGACACCTCCTCTTTTCCTTATCAGGAGGTATTGCTCTGATGCTGAATACCACATCATCAAATAGAACTGACCAACATCAGGTGGCATCTGAGACAGTCTCATGGCATTCACAGCATATACCAAGCACACAGTGGCAAAGCACAAATGAGTAAAACATATCCTAGAAATAGGCAAGCAATGAACTTTGAGTACCTGGCTCTCTGGTGGCCTGACCCCATCCTAGGATGAAGAAAGTATTTTAAAAGACAACTTCTGTATCACATACTAGTATTGAGAGGAGTAAAAGTGGAGAGTTCTTGCTGAAATAAATGATTCCACTTGTTCTCTGTTTATTGTCAAGCATGGCCTATTAGTAGACTTCATGGCTTTTTAGAGGCACTACTACACTCAGCTCTGCAACTTGTGTCCTTAGCATCCGAATCGAACACACATCCTAGATGCAAAGAACCAAAAACATTATCCATCATAACTGTACCTTTGCTAAAGTTTGGGCATCATGGATACCAAAATTCAGTTTTTTTTTTTTCTAAAGCCACTTCGGGATCATATGATATGTTTTTGTGAATCAGAAAAATAGATCCCTTTCTCAAGTAGAAACACTTTGAAATTGGTAGATTGTTATGGCTGTGAATTCTTTTCCAGAATTCCAGTGGTCAGTGTCTGGGGCAACATATATATGTGAACATGTTCTAACTGCCTGCTCTGGTGAATACCACACACACACACACACACTCACACACACCATCATTAGGAGATATGTTCTCCCTCCCAATCTGTTGGTGGAACTTGGGAGAGCTTTGGGAAGGCTCTTGGAGAGTAAGAGGAGACAGAATTCAGCCACAGGTCTCAACTTCCCAAGAGCTGGGATTGAAAAACATGGACCACCAAGCCTAGATGTGTCATGATGTGTTAAAATCTGCCTAGGTCTTCTGTTTCAATAGACACTTCCAAAAAATCTAGGCTATTATTTAAAACAATATATTTTCTACAAACATACACACAAATTTATTGTATAATGTAGATTTGATAGAAGACTTGTCTGGATATTTGTAATAAGACATCAGTGCTAATTACTCTGCTGAGAAAATAGAATAAACTATGTTGCTTCCTAAAATAACAAACTTTTTCATGACTCCTACATGGGTGAAAACTATACCTTGGCAAAAGCAAATGAGCTGAATATTATACAATGAGGGTATCTGAATAAGTGTCATGTCAGATGGAATTTAATAAAAATTATGATTGTATTTTGGAGTAAGTTCTGATTGTAAAAGATAATCAAAAAGAATTAGCTAGAAAGACAAACTTTTTACCAAAGTCATGCCTTTTTGTGATACAAAACTGTCACAATACAAGTGGCTCTGCCTGTACTAATTAGTATAACACATTCTCATACATCCATCATATGTAAAACTGGATGAATGTCATTCAAATGTGAACTAAAGGGAAGTATATTTGCTCTCTTTAAAATGGCTGTAAATAGGTCAGACAGAGATCACAACTGATTACAAGCTCTAGTGAGACCATGCAGGAGCCACACTGATAAGCCATGGATCCATATTCCATTATTTCCAATTCTGCACCAATCTTTGAAACTTACTTGGAAAAATATTATCTCAATACAACTTACTCTGAGCCTTCATCTCCTCTAGGAATGGCTCACGGGCCTGAAGTCCGATTCTGACTCTTAAAAGGGACCCACTACCTTGAAGCCTCCTTCTGTGATTACCTAGGGTTGATGACTCCTCAGTCTAAAATATCCAGGATGAATAGCTTTGAGACTCCCATACTCCCTGATCAATGTATGTCCTAGCTATCACCAATAAACAAGGCATCATAGCAGGAGGGAACATAGAATAGATGTAAAATAACAACAATAAAATCCAAAGAAAACATTTAAGAATGTACAGCAGAGTTCTTTAAGGACACCACAGCAATCATAATCTTCAAAAGACCCACACGTTTTGGGTGTTTTCAGTCCCTTTCCACTATATCTAATAATTCATTTTTCTCAAAGGAGCTTAAAGAAACCTGGTTTTTATGGAGAGCCACTATGAGTCAGGGTGCATCATTTCATATGTGACTAAGGTGGGCCATGCAGGATGGACTTTGAACACAGATTTGTTTCCTTTTTTCCCCCTCTCCCAAATGATTGAAACTCATCAAATCATTCTCTGGGTCACAGTGGTGGTGACTCTTACACGTGTGACTTGAAAGTTCACTATGAACACAATGAGGGCATAGAAAAGAACAAGAGAATCTATTCTTCTGTTTGTATAACAGGGGTGAAAAAAATGCTTTAACTGATAAAATATGCTATGCTTGGGACACCACCCATGATGATATGAATAATTTATATTACAGAGGTTGCTGCATTTCAAAATCAACTTATTTACTATATCTCTTAGCACCCAGGATATATTTGCAAGGAGAGCGTGAAAAAAACGTTGAATACTAAATAAGAAACACAGTTTCTCCTTTTCGCCTCAACTTTCTAATCACACAAAGGCCATTCAGCCTACGAAAAGTGTGTCACTCTTATGCATTTTATTTCCCCCTAACTGCATTCTTATCATCAGAGTCCTTGAATATTTAAAAGGTACAAACTTAAAAAAAAACATAGAAATTGTTCCAGTTTACCTTCAGCCTGAAGGAATAGGACTGAGTAGGAGCCAAGCAAGCTTCCTGTGGTTACGCATTTCCAAAGAGCACCATCTCACACTCATGATGGAGAAGATGGCTCAGCAAAGATAGCTGATGAGTGGGCTGATAAAGCCTCGTCACAATGTCATGAGCTCTATTTCATGTACCATAATGCATCTCTCCACACATATGCCGTATCCTAAGAACTCCACTGAAAAGCAGCATGTTCAGTCATGTGCAATTTGCACGTGCATGAGAACATTTGCAGAATGCATATCAGCACTTCATTTTAGAGGCGAGGGAAGCAAGGTGTGGGGAACTCCTTGAGAAGCAAAGCTCATGGAGACAGCGAGCTGCTTGTGAGAGACATTACTGGTCTTCACTGAAAGGACAGAAACAAGTATTGTCCTTCAGAAGCCATGCAGGAATTCACCATAGATAAAATGAAAGAGAAAGAAAAAAATAGAGTAAAGTGCCTTAGCTATGATAAAATTATGTTATGGTGGAGGTTTACACCAACAGGAGCCATTCACCATGCCCTTCGAAGCAAAGTTCCTTTGCAACTTTATGGGTCCTCTCAGTGGCTCTGTAAGTACAAGGAAAACTCTATCATGTTACTTAATGCCCATTAAAAAAAAATACGACATGCAATTATTCCC